AGAATCGCATTTTCCTGCAACATCGATTTTTCATGGATATGATTATAAAAGTTGATAATGATTTGCTCAATTGATAAAAAAGTAAATTCGATGCACGATATTCATGTCTTGTGACCAAGCTCAAGACTAAGTATTTACGATAAACTGGTTTATGCCAGTTCCAATACTCTGATATAGAAATGCAAATTCGCGCGGGTCTGCATCAATGTAATAATAATAATAATAATAAAGAGAGTATCGTGAATGAAATGGTTTAATAAAAAAGCTTAAAAAAAAATTTTAAGTGACACATACTTATAATATCTTTAATCGCAAGCTATTTTCAAACTGAAGTCTTCTTTGAAAGCCCTTTTTTAAATTAATTCTTTTATATTTATTTAATATAAAAGTATTTTACATTAAACAATAATTATAAATAATATAATCGTATTAAAGAAATTAAATATTAATTTTTAATTATATAGAATACAAAAATTTATATAATATATAAATAAATTATAATATATAAAAAAATAATATTAAGTACATATTATGTACTTAATATTATTTTTTACTTTTTATTTTTCGATTTTATTCTTGATGTGGTTATTCCTTTAGACTTATATATATATATATATAGTATATATAACATTAGTGTCTTTTAAATTTTTTAGAGGCGTTATTCTTACGATTTTCGTAAAACAGTTTGCCTGATTATTATCATCTTATTTTAACTTTGGCATTTAACAAGTTTCATTTCCAATGAAGACGACGTCCAGCTTGACGGCTCTAAGAGAGGATAAGCTGCCGTAATTAAAGCTATTTAACTCTTCCTCGGTATTATACTGACGTAGAAGCGAAGAGCCTGGAACGGTAATAAATTCACCAATTACAGTAAATTGAAGAACTTATACGCGGGAGAGTAGGACGAGCGAAAGGGCATTCACTTTGTATTGTTACTGCCTTTCAAACGCTTTCCTCGTAATATGTGACTTTAAATAGTAATCGATATTTTTACAACTTATCTTATATATTATTGAACTTTAAAATTTGATAGAAATTTAATCGCGATAGTCAATTGAATATACGTGCTTGGAATATTTTCCTGAAGAATTGAATAATTGATATCGGTCCGAAATATGCGATTTTAATTGCTAAATATAATAAAAGAAAGGATTCAGAATAAAATAATGAAGAATAAAATAATGAATATTTTATTAAGCACCTTGATTATGTCAACTCAATTTAAATTGTGTCAATAGAATCAATTAGTATGTATAATGAGATTAACGTAATATAAACTCTGCATAATTTTTGTGAGTTTTTGTGATTAATTATATAATCAAGATTCACACAAGTTCTTTAATATTCCTACAGTTTCTACTTTCCTTCGAAGAAAAGGGGGGACCCCATTAGTGGCTCCAAAAACATCAATTCTGTTATGTAACTTTATTAGATTTTATTTATTATATAACTTTATTTCCTATTTGAAAGAATCGATCTAAACTTTTTTGAACTTTAACGGTACTATATATATAATTGAAAGTCTTACAACTTTTACATAACTAACACTCTCATTTAGCACTTTCTTACATTTCGCTCATGACACAAGTCCACTGGCAAACGATTAATACTTAATTTAGCTGATAAAATCGTGAGTCATAAAGACGCGCGGTTGCGGCATGTATGATTCATTCAGGAACGTTGCAAAAGCTTTCATTCTATATTTTACAGTAAAACGAATTAGCAATTTTATAAAAGCCACTTGACAGTTTTATGAAATGAGGCTGGGCAATAGATGCGACATCGGTGAACACTATAATGAACTCTATGGCAAATAAATTTATTCCAATCACGCGCATCCATCACTACTGATCAACGTGAAGAGTCGTGGAATTTGGAGCGTTGAAAAAAAAGACCACACTGAAAAAAAAGATTGGCTGGTGCAGCCAATTAAAAATGCTATGCCATATTTTACCATTTAATTTGCTGCAGCAGCCAATTTTATTTTTCAGTGTAGGAACTAATTCTTTTCTTCTAACGAAAATAAAGTCAAGTCCACAGTGTCAGCTTTATGAAGATAATAGTGACGATGCTCGTAAGAATAGAGGCTTTCCAGAGGATTTCCGAAGATTCAACTACATTAATTAAAATATTATTTTATTTTTGTAGTTACAAAAAAAATTGTGTCTAAATAACAAATTCTACGAGTAATTATTATCAATTATAATAGAACAATTATCTTCATGACTTTATCATCTTACATCTTTTTCTATTTTTTTTAAGCAAAAATATATTGATATTACGGAAAGCACTACAATTTATAATTATCATAATTATTATGTTTCAATATCTTATTTTACATTTATCATCGTATTTAGCGTTGTTTTCTTCTGTGGACTCTACTTTATCCAATCAATAATACGATTAGTAATACAATATTAAATCAGTAAAATGCTTGCGGTACCCTCCTTACGAAAATCTTGTACTGACCAATATTGAAAGACAGCAATTAATTACTTGTTTCAAATATCAAAAGCATTGTTTAGTGCTTTCAGTACTGCAAATAAGTAATTAATTACTGTTTTTCAACAATAAATTGACCAGTGTTAAATTGATCAGTATTAGATTGTAAAGGCACGCATCAATTTTTCTATAAACTTCAATCAGTATTATTAATAATATTTGAGCTCAATTTTATGCACATAAGTTGTACAATTATACTGGTGGAAATATTAACACGCCTTTTTTATGGATCGTACACGGTCAATAATATTATTAGTTCTAACAAATACTGACAATAATATTGATGGTGATTTGGATTTTTTGATTCTCGAGCATCAGTATCGTTGTGATAGGCGATAATGATTATGCTTGAGAATAAAGAAATCCGTAAGTATTCTACATCAATCTATCATTTTATATATATATATATATATTAACCACACATGATCAATGTGTGTGATGGGTAAGATATAATATTTTAAAAATGTATCTCGACACACACACACACACACACACACACAGATATAGATACATGTGAAAGTATGTACCTATTGATACAAATACTCCAATTCGAATGTATTTGAAATACAAGCATAGATACACAAAATGTATCTTTTGCACATCTAACACTGCACATGATCAATATTGTCAATATTTAATGATAACAATATTATTGACAGTGTAAAGTCCACATTACTTACCTATCTAATTTCCAAACATCATATTTACAAACGGAAGGATTAAATAGCGTAAAAGTATTAAAAGTATAAATATGATAAATATATATACGAATATATGAGACAGTGAATGAACGAGTAGAAGTGTCTAAGAGAAAGTTATTGAAGAAATTTATTAAAAAATACGATATGAATGTGCGAGTACGACATATGTGGCGTGCATCAAGAAGTGATTGAAATTCGTTGAAACGATAATAGTGTGCTGATTACGAATTATATTCTAGAATATAACAGGCGAACATGAGAATTAGAATCTTGTTTGAAAACACGAGCGATTTTTTGTCAAAATACTGTTAGAGTGACCAAGAATCTTGTCTACAAATACGAGCGAAAATAATAAAGAGCATCTTCTTGTTATTTCTGGCCTTAATATCCCGCATTATATATCTAGTTATATTAAGAATCAAATATGCAGCGTAGATGCGTGCACTTATGCGTATATTTATTAATCATCATCATGGAAGTTTGATTATCTAATCTCGCAACATGTGTGTGTGTAAAACTATTATTAATAAATGCAAAACTGCCACGAACCAATCATTCATTGCGGAACACATCCGTTCACGCGATGGCATTCTTTTACAAGGGCGTGCATAGATTAAAATATGCGGTGCAAAAGGGAAGGATGGGGGATTAAGCTAGGTCATTTGTTCCTCTATAATTTCTATTCATTTCCGCAACTTTCTCTATAGAAAAAAAAAGCAGGAACAATAAAATATTCTCCATAAACATAGCAATACGTTTTTATCACGTTCACAATCAAAATCATTTATGAATGAGAGAAAGAGAGAGAGAAAATGTATAATTTGTATAAAACGAATAAAATATCTTGAAACCCTAAATACATTTATCGATATAATTATAGGTACTATTTAACCTGATTCACGGTGAAGAAAATGATACGTGAAATTGTAAAAAAAATCGTGTATTTATTTTATAAGGCTAGGTCCACAACCTTGCTTTAAGAGGCCATAAGCCGTAAAGCCTTAAGAAATTGACCAATCACAGTTGAATACGAGAAAAATAATCGACTGTGGTTGGTTAATTTCTTACGGCTTTATGGCTTAGAGCCTCTTAAAGCAAGGTTGTGGACCTAACCTGTAGGTTTAATTTATTTGAGTAATAATTAACAATTAATATAAAGATAACGTATCATTAAAAATCATATTAATATAATATTACACAATATATATAATATAAAGATATTAAATATAATTTAACATAATGTAGATGTATATAATTCTCAAGCTTCTCTCCCTCTCTCTCTCTCTCTCTTTCTCTTTTAATATATTACAGCATTATTATTATTAATTTTTTAAATTAATTGTAAGTCATTTTAAAGGATCTGTGTATAAATGCTTCAAAAAGGTTTTGCCCAATAATCCACTCTATCCCTTCGTCCACACCCCTGTTCTTCCGCGATCATACACATCCGCTCGATCGCGCATTTCGCAACAGGCTCCTGCTGTTCGGTGCGTGGGCGGCCCATCGCCGCGACGTATGTGCACGCGACGGCGTTATTACAGCTCACTGAGGTCTGGCCATTACTTTTCTATCTGTCGCAGTCGGCGAACTACAGTGTTCACGAGCCAGCACTCAGCGTCTCTTGTATTACATTTTTCGCGTCGAGTCTTCGACTCCGAGCGCGTGGTATTCGCGCAGGCGATTCTAATCCCGATCTCTTACGACGAGATAACGGAAAAGTGTGAATCGCGAATGAGTTAATCGACGCATCTAATCTCGGTAGCGGCGATTACTTCTGAAAGCTACGATCTCCATTCATTCAAGGAAGAAAGTGCAAACGTTGTCCGTAAGTCTCGTTTTCTGTAAACGCGATTACGTCTTCAATTATACGTGCGGCTGCATATCCTTACACTTTTAATGTTAAATGTTGCGCGCAGTAAATTTTCGTCCCACGTCCGTAATTTAATATGTTGACTTGTAAATGTGAATTAACACATACACTGAAAAAAAAGATTGACTGCTGCAGCAAATTAGATGGTTAAATATGGCATAGCATTTTTAATTGGCTGCAGCAGCCAATTTTTGATTGCGTTAAGCCGCGTATACATCTAGCGAACGAACACCGAATGCGAATGTTCGGATGTTTGTGTTTGTGTTTGTGAACAGTTTATTCTTTTTCTTGATTGTACCGAATTTTGTGTTTGCTGTTCGTTCGGTGTTCGTTCGCTAGATGTATACATGGCTTTAGCCTATCCGCAATGTCAGTATAGGATTTCAATAGGCTAACACAACCAAAAATTGGCTGTTGCAACCAATTAAAAATGCTATGCCATATTTAACCATCTAATTTGCTGCAGCAGCCAATCTTTTTTTTCAGTGTAATAACTGGCGATTTGTAGATGAAGGCCAGTTATTCACTGATTCGATTTTTTGAAGAGAAAAATATAATTTTATTGTGATGAAAAAAATATATAATAAATAATATCCGGTTTTACAATGTAAGCTTAATTTTATCTTGGTTTAATTTACTTTTTATTTTTTTCGAGTTCTAAGGCTGGTATTCACATATAGTCGATTCTTATATTTAAGATTATTTTATGTACAGTTTTAAAATGTCATGAACTAATCAGAGAGCCGTATTTATATAATATCTTCATATTACTTAAGACGGTTTTTAAAATAAAAACTGATTATGAATACCGGCCTATAAAAATTAAAACAGAATAAGGAGTAAATTAAACTGAGATTAAAGTTAATCTACATTAGAAATGGATATAAGTGACATATTAAAATAACATGCTAATATAAAATTAACGTTGAGAAGAAAATTATACTTAATTGTACAATGGCAATCAACGTATTAAATCTAACATGATAAAAACACGAGACGTTTTTTTTTTTAATAATAAGATTGAAAGACCGCTAATGTTAAACATAATTACAGTTTTTAAGTTGGAACATTTGGGGGGATTATTAATATTTTCAGATTTGATTGCGTTGAAAGTCCGACAACCATATCGGCACGCAATTATCATTTCTGAAATTAATTCATTTAAATGAATTTACAATAGTTCAATATCTTAACATTCTGACCGTTATGGCGCTTCTTAATTTAAAGTTTTTTTTTTAATCTCTGACAATGATCGCCTGTGGCAACGTTTTGTATTCGGGACCGGACGACTTTATCTGAACAGTTTTCGAGCTGCAATAGATAAGAAACAGGATTTGAGAGAAGGAAAACAAAAGCGATAAAACCGTAGATTTCAGTTAATTTGTATGCCACTTTAATTTTTATTTGATGTTTAGGAAAAAAGGAGTACCACCACCCGAGATATTTGTTATCGAATTCCAAAAATTGCAAAATAAGATGATATTCAATAAAGTTATGACAGAACGAAAATCATTTTATTTTTCAATAAGAGAAATATATCGCTACATTTATCAAACGTGTCTATTACTAAACGCTTATACATATCATACTTGTATTTACTACGTATGTAACGCTAAATCCACTATCACGGAAGCCGACGTAACTTCAATGACGGAAATTCTTGATGACGAAGCGATAACACGTTTTAATTTCCAGTCATCTAGTACGAGTGCACGGCACGTTGCCTTTCGCTTTCAAACTGCGTTTAACAATCCCACCCCCACCTTTGGGCTTCCCGTGGCACCAATCGTGACATTTCGCATTTATCGACTGGTGGAAGAGACGGTGGACGGGGAGAAGGGCACCACGGAGGCGCGTACGCGGTACGGCGAGCGCAGCGAAGCCATCTGAAGTGCCACGCGAGTCACCGCGGCGCGAGCGTGACAAGGAGGCCTTCGATAGGGTGTTGGCTGGTTGATACTTGGTGCAGGAACGCTGGAACGCTCTCGGAGAGAAGAAGGCGAACAAAGTGAACGTTTCGCAACGACGAGACGACGCGCCGAGACCCAAGACGCGAATGCTTCGCTCTCGTGAGAATTCCTCGCCCATGTGATACGAATAACAATACTACAATTGACACACACCTAACTTCAGCGGGGATCCATCGACGCGTTCCAATTCGTCGGTAATTGGTGTAGCGACGCTTATCGATCTACACCTTGTTCATTGATAAGCAGATAAGTTCAGTTTGAGAAGGAGAAACTTTCGCTTTCGTTTATTTCTCGTTTACCGCGAAGTTGGCGAGGAGAGCGAATCGGCGTGACGTTCGGACGTGACGTGACGTAGTATACACGCGCGACTTTCAGGTCCATTCAGGCCACACCTGCGCGACCGCGTGAGCAACTTCGCGTGCTCTCGCACGCGAAACATGGACAACGCGCGTGGAGGACGCGCGTACGGCGTCGTCCGCTGTTACCTGTACCTGCTGCTCACGAGCGTCGTCGCGCTCGCTCAGGTAAAATCATTAGATTTATAAAGTACCCCAATTGATTTCTGAAATGTTGCGTCAATATGATAACATTCATAAATAAATTAATTGCAATTAAAAAACATTTATTTACATACTTGACGATTTCATTTTTCCAAATAAAGTACGTATATACGAATGCATAAATTTGAAAATGGAGACGTTTGCGGTACTTTATAAATCTAATGTTTTTATAGGATATATCGCCTGGCAGCCGCTACTATAATCGTGACGGCGTATACGTGCCGCAAGACAAGACCTTCTTCTACAACGGTAGACGGTATGGGTATGGATATCAACCTAGCTACCTGGAGCCCGGTTACAGAGGACCCACGAGAGCACCCGAGGATCGATTTATTTACGGCGTAAGTAAAAAAATTCCTACTGGTGAAACCACATAAACATATGACGATTTTAAGATGTTTAAATAATACATTTTGCTTGTTTACATTTTGCTCCAGATTAATACATTTAATTCACGCTGTAATGATTAATCACAAATTATATAAATCGTGAAGACACTTGATTGAAGTGTTTATTACATGCATATTTTATTATAAATATTAATTTAAATCATAAAAATGATTTTTTAGAAACTATTTGTTAACTAATGTTATTTTTTGTTGCTTTTAAATTATACAGATTGTTAACTAAAATAATAAATATTATTTATACTTATCAATGATTGTATTATTAATTAAGATTCGTTATTTATTTGTACTTTGTATTTCAAATTCTAGATTGAATTGCAAAGAGATGCAATTACATAAGAATTATTTTTTTAATAAATATAGTAATTCCTCAGAAAAAATTTATTTATTTATTAGCTATGTTCTAAAATATATATAAAATTTGAAAATAGATTCAATAAACACTATATATTATATTAAAACAGACCACAGAAAGACTTCCATTGCCAGGAATACTAGCTGGTTGGCGCGAAGATCTTCAAGGAAAAGAAAGAGCAGATTCAAAACTTTTTATAAAAACCAGAGACATACTTGTGAATACAAATTATGGTCAAATTCAAGGATTTAAAGTCCAATTATATGACGATCCATTTGCAAGACACAGACCTTGGAATATGGCAGTTGAAAGAGTCACAAAAGATGTTAATGTATTTCTGGGTATTCCTTATGCTATGCCACCTACTAAAGAAGGTCGTTTCAAACCTCCCAGACCTCCCAGGTTAATATAAAATCTTTTACAAAATATTTTTTACTGTTTCTAATGCTTTATAATATTAACAATATTATTTTAGACCATTTGGTGTGAAAACACAATCATAGGCTATGTTTACACCATGCATTTAGGCCGCGGCCTATGCAATAGATATCCTTGTTTATCTTATATATTAAACAATTGTATATTAAAGACACCTATCGTATAGGTCGCGGACTAAGCGCACGGTATAAACGTAGCCAATATTAGCAATATAAAGCCTATACGGTCGAAGCTAGATCTTTAATGCTTTAAATAATTCAAATCTTGAATCACTAAATATATTATATATGTATTTGCATATATGCCATATTTGTAGTCTTTTCCGAACTGCGCGCCGAATTTATCGAACTATAAACGCAAGTAAACTTTATAATATTGTCTTTTACAACAAATAATTTATTTTTCTGTTAGAGGGTGGCAACTTTTACAAGCCATTGATTGGGGACCAGCTTGTCCTCAGCCTAGTGAATATACTGGTGCAACAAAAGGTGTCCGAGACGTTGATGAAGATTGCTTGTATCTAAACATATTTACACCTTCTGTAAGTATGCTGTATCCAAAGAAAATAAAATTAATGAGTCTATTAAGTAATAAAATTATGTTTGTATATGTAGATTGGCTACGGGTTAGCAAATAGATATCCAGTGATGTTTTACATACATGGTGGCGAATTTAGTCATGGGGCGAGTAATTTGTTTCCAGCTCATATACTAGCTGCCTTCTATGATGTCGTAGTAGTATCAATTAATTATCGCCTTGGAGCTCTTGGTAAGTACACTACTTTTCATACATAAGGTATATGTATGAAAAAAAAGTGTTATATATTAATTAGTAAAATGTTAATTTTTCCCATTATATTTCTAGGGTTTCTGAGTACTGGAGATGAGAATAGCCCTGGAAACTATGGAATTCTTGATCAAGCTATGGCATTGCGATGGGTCTATGACAATATAGTTAGCTTTAACGGAGATCCTGACTCTATAACACTGTTTGGACCAGGTGCTGGAGCAGCGAGTGCGGGATTATTAATGGTTGCACCAAAGTAATTGGATTTGACATTTAAGTATATACATTTTACGAACCAATTGTGCATTAAACTTATTTTATCTTATTGTAGAACTCGACAGATGGTATCAAAAGTAATAGCGCAATCGGGTTCAGCTCTAGCTGATTGGGCGGTGATAGTAGACAAATACCGAGCACAAAATACATCTCGAGTATATGCAGAAATGCTCGGTTGTAGTATAGAGAGTAGTTGGAAATTGGTACAATGCTTAAAAGACGGACGTAGTTTCCTTGAGTTAGGTAATTCTGAATTAAAACCACACGTCGGAATGTTCCCATGGGCACCCGTGCTGGATGTCAATTTTACAATACCTCAAGATGATTGGTATGAAGATTGGAGAGCATCCGACTGGCGCTTTTTTACAGAAACGCCAGAAGAAAGTATTAAAGCTCACAAATATAGGAAAGATTTGGCTTATATGGCTGGTGTCACAACTCAAGAAGCAGCATTTATTATAAGTATGTTATCTATTATCTTATTTATGTTTATCTAACTATGTTAGACTGTTTTTCTTTTAGAAAACACAGTCAACACAAGTTTTTGTCTTTGTTATTCATGCTAAGAAAAATAAAAGGATGTTTGTGTCGATTGTCTTTTAAAAGGAAAGCCATATTTTTACTTCGAATATTTTACTGCTATTACTAAGTTTATTATTTATATTATTCAATTGAATTATTCAATATGACCTCGTAAATTACCTTCCATAATATTTATTTTACAGAAAATAATCATACATTAGCAAGAAATCAATACACAATAACTCCTGAGGTATTCGATCAAAAGATTTGGGAATTAGTTCTTCGATATAACTATACCCTAAATCCACAAGGCATTTACGAGGCAATAAAATATATGTATACATATTGGCCGGATCCAATGAATGTTACACACATACGTGATCAGTATATAAATGTAAATGATGTGAAAATATCGAACTAAATTTTATGTAAATTTATTGACTTAATTATTATTATTTTCAGCTCTTATCAGACTTTCATTATGTTGCACCATACGACAAAATAGCAAAATTATTGGTAGAAAGACACGTACCGACGTATCTCTATGTCTTAAATACCTCGATAGAATCATTTTATTTACTAGAATGGGCTAGGGTACCTCATGATACCGAGCTTTTGTGGCTGACAGGAGCACCGTTTATGGACGTTGGTATGTTCTTTTGTCATATACATGTATCTTTAATTTATTGCATACTATCTACTAATAAGATATTATTAACACAGAATTTTTCCCACAAAAATGGAGATTAAAACGAATAATGTGGACTGATAGTGATCGTAATATGAGTCACTTTTTCATGATGGCATATTCTAATTTTGCAAAATATGGGTACGTATCTGATAATGCTGATTTGTTTATTTGTATGATAAAGTGAAAAAATGCAATAATTATTTAAAATTTCAACCTAGAAACCCAACGCCTTCGCAAATCTTGGGATTGCATTTTGATCCCGCACGTTATGGACAATTGCGATATCTCAATATCAATACAACATTCAATAGCTCCATTCAAGTAAACTATCGTCAAACCGAGAGCGCATTCTGGTCCATGTATTTGCCGACTGTTATTGGTTACCTTGTCCCTACTTATCCTCCCGTTACGGAAGTAAGACGTTTGTAATATAGTATATATGCTTTATTGAATTATGTCAATTGTTCTTACTTATAATTTTTATGACAGTATTGGTGGGAACCTAAACAGCCATTGCAAATCGCATTTTGGTCGATGTCGACGGCGTGCCTGCTGCTACTTGTACTTTCTGTGGTGTGCTGTATGCTTTGGCGTAACGCCAAAAGGTAAGAAAAGGTAAACAGAACCAAATCCATGTGACTACGGCTTCATTCGGTAGCACCTGCTGTACCGAACAGTAGCGCATGCAAAAACTGGTTCTGGTTTATAGACACAGTCCTTGCGGGATACGGTTTCTTTGTCTTACTTTTTACATAACCATTCTGAATATAAATTGCTAATTAATTCTATTCCTGCTTACAATTAGCAAAACGAAGGCTGCTAGGATACGTGCAGGTATTTATAGAAGATACTTTAGGCATAACTTTATACAATATGCCTGTCACATATTGCTTTATTAGTTGCACATGTTTGTATATATTTATTATATAATTCACATAAAAAATGGGCAAGGCTGAATAATAAAATAAGTGATTAAATTATTAACTTAACTTTTACTTAGATTTATTTAGTTGCACATATGCGTATGCATTTTTATATTTACAAGAAAAATGGGCATAGTTCGTACTAAATAATAAAATATTAATTTAATTTTTACTTACAATTATAGATATACATTTTTTCTGTATATAGTGTACAGTATTCTTTTGCATTATTTTCTCCACAGACAATCTGATCACTACTATAGCGGAGACATCCTGATGGTACGAGACGATGAGCACTCCGAGGGAATCGAGAATTTAACACGTTCATCTAAAGAAAACATATACGAATATCGTGATGTACCAGAAAAGGCCCGAATACCGCGTCAAAATGAAACGAGACTACAAGAACGTTTAGCACATAACAGAAAATTCAGTTCTACACCCTCGTTACGTAGCAATTCTAATGTCTCATTAAAAGATATGAGATCAGAAGGTTTCGTCACTAGCTCACCTAATGGTCAGCCTAAAATGGCAAAGACACTGAGTCAATCTGCACTGCCAAAAGCTAAAAGCAAAACACTTTTAGTACAGGGAGTACCACAAACAGCTGTTTAATACTTAAGTTACCATTATACAAAAAAATCGACATGATCTTTTTTTATATTTATTTTTTTATACCTAGGTTTTTAAATGCATTAATTATTATTTTTAAAAGATGATGACACTTGTTTAAAAAAAATGCCAAATTATTAAATTAAAATTAGAAAGTTTTTATTGCAATTTTTAAAAAATGAACGAAGTGTTTACATACTGACAATAATCGAGATAATTATAAATTGATATAATATTGCTTAATATTTTTAACATTTTATCATAAATAATGTGAAAATTCGTTCGTTATTAATTATATATTGAAATGTATTCTCTCTTGTTAAATTGCTAAAGTACATTTTTTAATAACGAGATATTAATACACTTGAATGTGTTCGCAAATCAAATATTATTAGTCACATCTATATCTTGATAGTATAACCACACAACAATGCCATTTGCATATAAGATAATCATTAAGTTAATAATTAAACGATTTTAAATCATAATCTACTGTAAAATATTAGATTTTTATAAATTATGCGATATATAATAATACAAGTAGCTGCTTTGTATCCATCCATAATAGAATAATAATTCCAATCTTATTAGAATAATAATTGTTATATAAATGGAAGACCAGCATTTTATATATTTTATATGTATATATATATATTATATATATATAAATACTGGATATTTTATATTGCTTTTTACAAAGCTACTTTTATAAAACATATAAGATCAAGTTTTGTAATATAGTTCAGTATCTGTGGATAAAGAGAACAAATGCAAACACAAATAGATTTTTATTTTGATTTAGATGCCTTTTTCAAAATAATTACGCACATGTAATTATAGTATATATATAAATATTTCTAAATGTTTAATATATTCACTACATAATATATGTATATGCATCGATATAGCACACTTAACGACATTTATAAGCAGGTTTCAAATGCAACATTCCGTTCAGTGCGATTTATTATATATTTATATCTTTCGTTCGGTATATGTATATGATTAGACGTAGACTTAAGTACCTCACTCGCTGCAAAATTCAAATTATGTTAAGCGCACAAATTTACTTCATACATTGCAGCTATGTGTATAGTAAAGCCGGAATCAGACTACGCATTGAAGATTGAGATTGAAGATCGAAGATTGAAATTTGACCAGTGAGGACAAAGGAATTTTAGCTCCTATTGTTTTGATTGGTCAAATTTCAATCTTCAATCTCAATATTCAATTCGTAGTCTGATTCCGGCCTAACATATGTTACATTTTTGCATATTATATGTAGCTTTTAACGTTAAAACGATCTCATTGCTAACAAAGTTGTAACATAAATCTAAGTCTGACACATCTGAGATTAAAGTTACACGCACATTCGCAATAACTTTCAGTGATTTGTTATTTACAAATTGTGCAAACGCATGTGTAAAGCAAGTGATTTGTAAGCATGTAAAATAGTGCCTTAAGATTTTATAAAGAATGTCAATAATTTTATTGTAGATGTTATAAAATTATATTACAATATTTTGCACAAAACGATTGTTGTCATTTACATTATTTACAAAATCGTAGAATTCCCAGAATATTTTCTGAAAATTTATTGTGTGGATGTTATAAAATTATAATATTCGCGTATAACTATTTACAAAATTATAGAATTCCTAGAATTTTAAAATTGAATATAGTAAATACTTGAACCATGAAAATTAAATTTTCTAAAGAAATTAAAATCTTGAGTACCTAAAACTAAAATATAAAATTAATTCTTGTTTAAATCAACAATCATGGAGTACGAATATCTAGACGCGATGTTTCCATCCGGAAACAGCTAGCTCCGAGTGTAAAGGCATTTCTATCGGCCCTGACGCCAAGTGTATACACGTATACGTGTGATAAAACCACGTACAATCGTAAAGATATCTCGAAGATAGTTTTGATAGCTGGTGATCAATTATGATTAGCTGAAATCGACAAAAACAAAGAAAAATTGGTAATTATAGGTCAAGATCAATTTGCTCATCATTTAATCAGTCTGTTGACAGAAATCGTAGCAACTTGCCGATTTATTATTACCTATTTCAACGAAATGTCAGATTCGATGATAACTTTGTGATAAAACATAATTTTAATTGTGATTTGAATCTGATATACAATTACATATTTTTTACAGTATTTAATAAAAATCGTGTATCATTTTGTAAGATAAATGCTTTGGTATTCAGATGCAATAGAAACAATACATGCTTTCAATATCGACTACTTCGAATAAAAGAGAGAGAGAGAGAGAGATATGTATATACATATTAGAATTGTTTATCATATTCTGTTTATCATATTCTGTTTGTTTTTTAAATAAAATTATTACAATTTGGGTCAGCATAACTTGTACATAGTTGTATAAATTGTTAGATTATAATTAATTTTTCTGTTTTTCATTAATTTATAAAATTTCAGAGTTTCAAGATGCAGAAATTTAAGAGGGCTCAAGCACAGAATAAACTGTCTATTGAAAAGCACTTGGAAGCCAATGCGTTGTTGAATTCGTCTAGCGAAGACGAGGATGAAACTAACGAAGAAGATGTCCAAAATGTGGTGGGCAAAGTATTGTCAGCGTACCAAGGACAGAGCACAGATGCCGAAAAAGTGATATCGTACTTAGTGAATTCCTTTCAAACCAGCAGTGCTGTTTGTTTGATATGTATATCCTCTGTCAAGAAGATAGATCCAGTATGTTAAATAATACAATATATTATCTCAACACACATACGTTATTACCTTGTTAACATTTTAATTGCATGTCAAATATATTTTTAAATATAATATGCAAGTCTAGATAGTCTTTATGCTAAGTTTTCTTCAATTTAATATAAGTATTAATACCTGAATAGAAAAGAAAATTTTTATGTTTTGTTAATGCGCAATCAAAACTTCTCTATGTATATCATATATTTGACTGATTTTATTATTTAAAAGTTATGTTTAAAACATATATGATTTTAATAACACTAATCAAAGTTGAAAGCAATTTATTATCACTTTTCTATTTTTTCTATGCAGATATGGAACTGTGACAAGTGCTATGCATTTCTACACATGTCCTGCATCCTACATTGGATCAATGACAGTTTGAATTGCAAACGGGCTAAAGGAATCACACCAATCTGGGCCTGGTATGTATTTATCAAGAATTTCATGAAAAGTACATCAAAACCTTTAATATACCAATAAAAATGTATATTATTACAGTCCAAAATGCCGTATGGAATATGATCAGGATCAGACTCCAAGATCGTACAAATGCTTTTGTAAAAAGTCAGTAGATCCTCAGTATCAACCATGGATTATTCCGCATTCTTGCGGCGAGGCCTGTGGCAAGCTTCTGCAACCAGAGTGCGGTCACAAATGCGTGTTGCTTTGCCATCCTGGTCCATGTCCACCCTGCGCTAAGATGGTATCTGTTAAATGTTACTGTGGCAAGCTACCGGCGCAACCGCGACGTTGCAATGCTAAAACCTGGAGCTGTGGAACTGCGTGCAATAAAAAATATGAATTTTGTCCACACACTTGTGATAATGTGTGTCATACTGGAGAATGTTCCCCTTGTGTAGAAACAGTAGTACTGAAATGCCGTTGTAAGAGTAACGAGAAAGTAGGGAAGTGCTACGAGGGTACATGGATTTGCGAGAAACCTTGCAATAGAAAATTCTCTTGTAACGTACATAGCTGTGAAAGCACTTGTCATCTACCCGGCGACTGTGGCAACTGTCCCCTGGAAAAGAACAGATATTGTCCTTGTGGGAAAAAACGATATGAAATTTCTTGCAGGCGGCAGCAAGTGCCAACGTGCGGGGATACGTGCGGCAAGTTGTTGGACTGCGAATCGCACTTCTGCAACATGAGATGCCATACCGATCGCTGTGGTCAATGCTTGGAAGTTGTAACAAAAGCGTGTAGATGCGGTAGTTACACGAAAGAAATCGCCTGTGCGAAGGAATTCCACTGCAACAGAAAATGCATGCAAATGCGCTTATGCGGTAGACATTGGTGCAACAAAAAATGCTGCGACTGCATATCGAAGAACACGTTCAATCATTGTGAAAAAACATGCGAGAATACGCTCAACTGCCGTAAGCACAAATGCGCTGCACCTTGCCACAGTGGTCCTTGCTATCCATGTACCAGAACGGACACTATACAGTGTCGATGTGGCAGCAGCAAGATAACGGTGCCATGTGGTACCAGGAAGAGAATCAAGCCACCACCGTGCCACAAATCCTGCAAGATCCCACCTATCTGTCATCACAGCAAGAGAGAAACACACAAATGTCATCAAGGTCCATGTCCACCATGCAAAAAGGTCTGCGGATTGACGCACAAGAGATGCGGTCATTCTTGCCCAGCCACTTGTCACACCAAAGTCTGGATGAAGATTAGAGCGAACGGAGTAAAGGCGCAGCCTATTGGACCTTGGGAAAAACCAAAGTATATTATAGAACTGAAGACTTTGCCATGTTCACCGTGCGAGGTTTCCGTACCTGTGACTTGTCTCGGTGGTCACGAGACGCGCCCTTGGCCGTGTCACATATCGAAACCGAGTTCCTGCGGTAGACTTTGCGGCCAGCTATTACCATGCAAGAATCACACTTGCGAGTTGACTTGTCACAAACTACAGACTTCCGACAACGAGTCTAACAGCGGTATTCCGTGCATGGAATGCGAGAAGGAGTGTAGTTTTGCACGACCGCCTGGTTGTACGCACACGTGTCCTCAACCTTGTCACCCAGCACCATGTAAACCATGTAAACAATTGGTGCGAATCTCTTGCCATTGCGGTATTAGCATTCTTTACCGGCATTGCGTGAACTTGACGTCTGCAACGAGCAAGGAACGGAATGAATTACTCAAATGCGGGAACCAATGCCCAAAAAATGTAACTACATTTATGTTCAGTGAAATAGACTATCGCTTAAAAGTATTTGCCCATTTCGATTTTTGTGTACGTATCTTTTTTTATACACCTAAATTCCGTCTAA